TGAGCAGAAAGAGGAAGGGATGAGATGAAAGAAGAAAAAAAGGCAGTGAGGAAAGGTGACTCTGAATCAGATGGAGTTGAATTTTATGAGCCAGTATGTGAGGGTAGTGAGAAAAAAAAAGAGATTTAGGAAATATCATTTGATTCTCAACCAAGGTTCCTCATCTGAATCTCTGACTACTGAACATTGTTTAAATGACTATTTCCTTATTTCACTCCAGAATGGTACAAAATTACTGCCATTGGGGCAAGCAGATGTCATAATGGTTACGTCATTGAACTCCCATGTAGTCGACCGCAGTTCAAGTCCCGGACCTAGCAGTTTACCTCACACTGGACATGTATGCATGTGTGCCCGAAGTCCTGAGAAGGGAGTGGAGGAGAAGGGATTGTGGCATGGTCATCCCCCCTTGGGGGGATTTCTCTGTGTCTCTCTCTCTCTCTTTCCAGCAAGTGCGTGCACCCTATAGCAAAAACCTCTCTTAAAACAAACAAACAAAACTACTGCCATTGTGGATACAGAGTTGATTCCTTACATACAATAAATGGCTTGGGCCAGCCTCAGCCTAATGAGTAAGGGGGATGGATCCCACATGGCCAACTGTAGAGCTTAAATCCAGGCCCCAGTGGTTTGAAAAACAAGCCAGGCATGGTGCATGTGTGTCCCAAATCCTGACAGGATGGAGTGTGGAAGGCTGCATGCTAGATCTTGCACATGAGCAACTGTTCGTCCATTTTGTTCCCTTAGCCTTACATGGCTGTCTGCTTCTGTAAACCGCTTGTTCTTCCCATAAGAAAATAGCTTGTGCTAGCCATGCAGAAAACCACATCCAGGACACCAACCTGTACCTGTTACTGTCTTTGCTAACCTGAAACCCTTTTGTTTAGCTGCTCCTTAGTAATATAACTATCAATGAGCAGACCCTTGCCCGGAGCCATGGAAACCCCACTCCTCTCAGAAATAATGAAACTGCTTGATTCAGCTTCTGTAACTGTTTTCACATAGGAACCCTGTACACCTGGCAACCAACCCCTATATAAAAGGCTACCCCAAACTTTGGCTGGCCCTGCAGTTCTGCCTCTCAGCCCCCAAGCCTCAGGCTGTAGTCGCTGGCCAGTTAATAAAGACTCCCTTTAACCTTAATCTGGCTTTGCACTCTACAACTTGTCGCTTTCTGTCTCTGTCTTTCTGGTGAGTGCATGCGCCCTATAGCAAAAACTTCTCAAAAAAATTAATAATAAATAACATAAATTCTTAAAAAAAAAAAAAAAAAACAATAAGCACATTGAACTTTGCTTTAAAAACCATATTGAGGGAACCAGCAGTTAGAGTAATGGCTACGTCGCTGGACTCCCACGTAGTCGACTGCGGTTCGCGCCCCAGACCCGGTGGCTTAAAACTCATGCTGGGCGCGTGTACGTGCGTGCCCAAGATCCCGAGAGGAGAATGGAGAAGGGATTGTGGCGTGACCATCCCCCCTGGGAGGTGATTTCTCGCCTTCTGTCTCTATGTCTCTGTCTGTCTGGCGAACGCACGCGCCCTATAGCAAAAACCTCT